AAAAATATAAAATATAATTAGAATAATTATCGAGTTCCAACAAAATAAATAATTATTATCTTTATAAAAAAAATTATATTATGAAACCAAATATAAATTACTTCGTTATTGTACATAAATTAAATTATAAAAAATTGAATTAAAAAATTACACAAAAAAATGAGGAATTTCAAATAGATAATTTGATACTAATATCGATATATTTTTGTCAAATTTTTATGATATCTTCAAACATATATTTTATTCAAAAATAAAAACATTATCACTTTCTTAAAATCACATAAGGACATATTATAACATCGACTGAGATAAAGAATAAAATGAAATATTAAAATCACAATATATCTCGTTGTATTGTACGAGTATGCTTCTAGTAATTTATAAATAATAAAGACAAAAACAATAATAAATTATAAATTATAGGAATAAAAATATCAATAAATTACAAATTATAAAAATGATAAGGATGAAAATCGTAATTTATGACATAACTATAAGGACGGAAATCGTGATTTACTCTTATTAAAATGGGGTGGGGAAGGAAGGGAGAGTATAAAGCAATGATGAGATGGATTCATACGGTTCTCAGTTGAGTTTCCCTTTACATCAATGGGTGCTTGTAGCCCACCAATTTCCCATCTTCTTCCCAACCCTAACAAAACCCTTATTACTAACACCACCAGGAAACCATTCTTCATCATCCTCTCCTCCTCATCAAAACACCAATTAACAATACAAAGGAGGCAATTATTGTTGCTTTCGCTTCCAATCTCTATCACTACCATTCAATTGACTTGTTCTTCGTCTTCAGCTGTCGCGGCCCCTATTTTCGATCCTATTTCGGAACCTGAGAGAGCTGCCAGCTTGGAGGTGTCCCGAAGAGTGGCGGAAGCGGTGGAGCTTCTTGAGAAAGGGAGGGAATTTCAGGCCCAGGGTGACTATGTCCAAGCTCTTCAATACTTCACTCAGGTATTTACTTGTTTTTTATATCAAATACCTACAAAGTTTACAAAACTAATCAATCAGTAAATTAGTCCTATTGGTTTAGTTAGATGAGTTTATACATGCATACATATATACATATATTATATGTAGGTGTGTGTATATATATATATATATATATATGTAATACATGTGTATATGTATGTAATTATGTATGTATTTGAAACATCACAATAAACTCAAAACCATGTTGTAGATCTTGCTTGATGCCATTAGGCAAAAGGCCTGTTGGTTCTTATATTTTGATTGATTGAAGATCATTTTTAGGTATTTGACTGATATTCAAACATTGATGTTGAAACATATGTCATCAAATATTGTAATTTGTAGTCACTATCGTTTGAAGATTATTAGTGCCAAAACTTATTAGAAAATTCGTTTGGCATTGTGACCATAATTCATTGACTTGCGATTGTGGCTTATTGATGGTATCTCTCGCCTTACGGATATTTTGAATTAGTATGTCATATAGGCAGAGGGTGTTTAGTGGTTATGGGGATAGATGAATAAAGTAGAAATATTCATCAACCATTGTGATGTATACATTAATAGTTTTATGCCAACCATTGAGCATGTTTTGGCTTTCGGGTGGTAACGAGGATTGCCTTGGGGATTACATGCATAAATCAAAAGTAAATCCCACACGGAGTGGGGTCTAGGGAGGTTAAGATGTATGCAGCTTTTCCTTTATCCCTGGAAGTAGAGAGGCCTCAGAGTTACATGCATGAATCTGCCAGTTTGACTTTGGTGGTTAACTAAGAGTTTAAGTTATATGATCAATAACTTAAGACCACCTCATTCTTGTGAATCCACAATGACACACGTACCGATACATGATGTGTGTCGTTTAATACTTAACTTTAACTTTCCAGGATGTCCAATGCAAAATATAGCAACAATAGGATTGACTAACATCATTAGAAGTATATGAATGGTATTGAGTTGGGTCCATCAGAATCCTTAATTTTGTATTTTCTAAAGGGTATTTTAGATATTCAACAAATAGTCAACATTTTGCTGAAATGAAACCGTGTGCCGATGATTAAATTTCCTAATCTCAGGTTGTAAGAGAATACAAGGACTTTGCTCTTTCAGAGTATGCAAGAGTTGGTAGAGCCTTAGCCTTATACGAAGTCGGGGACAAAAATGAAGCCATATCAGAAATGGAGGATGTTTCCATTTCGTTAAAAGGAAGTCCAGGTAAACCATCAAAATTGAGCTAGATGCTTTTCTCTTGTCTCGTTTTCCTTTTATTCGTTTATTCTATAACTTGATACACTTAAATCACCTACAGGCACTTGTGACATCCAAAGAACATATAACTTAAATCCCAAAACAAAACTATAGATCATCAACCTCGTTGTGAATCTTTGAGGCTATAATTTTACACATATCTCTCTTTGACATCTTTATATTCAACATCTTCAAAATGGAAGGTTATCCATTATTTGTAAGATCATTTTTCTTGCGAGCAAGGAGACAAAAATTTCTTACCCTCTCCTCTACTTATGATGTTGAAAAATCAAATGATAAGGTTGGCCAATAGGCATCAAACCCGCCTCAAAAAATAACATTTATACAAGGGGTTCACGTGTCATACTACACGTTTGCTTACGGGTTATAATCTTATACGTGTAGAAACCAAACGAAATGAAACCAAACCGTATGAACCTGGTAAATCCCACATACAGTAGAGTCTATGGAGGGTGTGATATATGCAGTAACACAGTCCTTACCTAAACAATACCTATAGGGAGAGTATGAAACTTGTAGCACTTTCCTTATTCGGATACCACAATATTTTCTTTTCAAGAAAGATTCCAAGTTTTGTTAACATGAAGAGGTTTAAGGTTAAGCAGATTTGGCAGCTTTGTTATTTCAAGTAAACCAAACAAAATCAAATAGACCTAGTATATCCCACTCTGAAGTAGGGTCTTGGGGTGGGATATAAGCAGACTCTCTACCCAAAGAGTAGAGAGGTTATTCTTTAGAAAACAACTTTTGTACTTCAAGTCTTGGATACTATTGGATCAAACCAATTACAACTCTTTATGGTTGCTTCATTTGCCAGCAACATCTCTATGCATGTATATAAATGGATATTCCGTATGTTTACTTTTGGTTGCAGAAGTGCATGCAGCTCTAGCAGCGGCGTTATACTCTGATAAGCATGCCTCAGTGCTTGCAGAAAACCAGTTCACAATAGCAACTCTTCTCGATCCAAAATATACGGATCTTGGATACGTAAAAGATACAAAGCACTGGCCCCCGAGTTTGGTTCGGTCTTTGCAAGATTTTATCACGCTTTCATAAGGTCATCCAAACAGGACAGAAACTCAACGAACTTTCCTCCTACCATTATATATGTACTTACATCTTTTCTTGAAGTGAACGAAAGCTTACTTCTATTTGTTGGGTACATGAACATGAAGCATACGAAAATATACGTGTATACTTTTACATTTTTCTTGCACTTACTTGTTTTGTGCAATATACTGAACCCTTCAATCTCATTCTTTTACTTTCAATCCCATAGTTACATTAGATTATTTTTTGACAAGGCAAGGAAAAACAAAGAAAATGTACACCATGTTTGTAACACCCCGGTCCCGCGTGGTCAAAGACGGAAGATGCCACAATTGGAATAAAACAAACAACGTGCTATATAAAACTGAGCGGTTAATAAAATTTACCAAAAGATAATTACATAACCACAAATGGAGATAACGGGTCTCAAAATACGGTCCCAAAATATTAACATGTCTACATTAGTCATCAAAAGTTTAACAAAAGTATGATTTAATGGGTTATCTTCAATATTGTCATCTTCGTAGCTCTCATCCTAAAATCCCTACTAACTCATGTATCTGCCGAGGACAAGAAAATCTCGGCTGAGCTTAATGCTCAGTGAACGGATAATAATATAACTAAACAATGAATATGAGATAACAAGTTCAAAAACAATTTATAACGTCAAATGATAATCCAAAAGAAAGTCAAAATGCCCCAAAAGCATGTCAAGGGTCCGAAGACCAAACTACATCACGAGAACGCGTTGTTCCCAAAGGATGATCAGTCCATTCAGGTACAAGTGAGGAAAGGGGTGTGAGCACAACACAGCAATCCTCTCCGTAGATTTAACCACGACCATAATTCAATATCCGATAACGATTCCTAGGATCGATCCATACGCCCTCTATTCGACCGGTACATAATCAAGTCCACTTTTAAGGACTTATAAAAATAAGGACGCCATGATCGTTTTAGTCACCATGGAAACATCTCAATACCGGTGCTCCGGTTATTGAGTCTATTGTAAAATGTTTCACAAATGAAGCAATAAAACAAGTCAAGTGATCAAAATGATCCATATTCCGAATAAGAATATAAGTCGTAATTCAAAAGGAAACAAAGTTCAATAACATATGATAAGCATAAAGGGAATTCAAAACAAATTATTCGGAATTTATCACAGATTATCTGGATTATGAAGCCTTACGCAAATGGCTATCCCCGTGTCAAGTGAGATATGAAATATGTACCTTAACCGAATTTGACAATTAACACACGATAAAACGGAAATTCACGATCAAGTTTGATTTACCCGTATGCCTAACGAATGCATAAACGGTTACTATTTATAAAGCATAGAAACCATAATATAACTATTCTAATAAAATTACTTAGGTCTTAATCTACTTAAACAACGTAGACCTCAAGAAGGACAGCTAGATACGAATTGAAAATTCAAACGTAAAACTTAACCTTATTCTCTTTCGATCCAACCGCTTTCGTCCCTCTTATTTCTAAGCATTTTTACCTTACCTAGAGACCAATCCAGATTATATTGTCTAAATGAAAGTTGTAGATTGGTATCATA